GTTTTTTTTTTGTAAAAGATGACACTGTACCAGCATTTGTTGCCAGCTTGTGGCATTTAGAACGCTTTGAAATAGTGAATCATTTTGCGACGCAACTGGTTCAAATTATTTCGGAGATTCAAAAAGCTCAGTTTTTGTTACTCTTCTGAAGATGATGTCATTCACTTGTTTTAGCAATTACACACAGAGAAATTTTGGTGAGATTTTTTTTTGTAGCCTTATGTCCATCCAATTAGAGGCCTGCAAGCCCGTCGGGTCCGCTGAGTCCATTCGGGCCGGGCTCGGGCTCATTTAGCTTCTCTCCTTTCATTGTGCCCATATACGCGCATGGGCACACATAGGCTACTGTATGAAATATTGTTATATTGATTATATTATAAATATTATACATCGCCTATGCAATACGCAACGCATACGCACGCATTAGCATAGGGGGAGAGCGGGGCACAAAGTAACACTTTTTGACTTTCTCAGTTTGTGTAAATCCACATGGGGTTCAGAATATATATATTTTTATCCACAGTAATTTTACACTTGCCTAGTACAAATATGTCGCTTTGTTTCATAATTACAGTGTATACGTTTTTCTTTATTTACCCTCAAAAAATGGAAGTGAAATGTGACAACATGCCCCGTAGGTGGGGTACATTGTAACATCTGAGGGGCACGTTGTAACATGGCCATATAACAGCTTAAAATGTTACCTGATCGAATGAAAAAAATATACAAGACAAACTAAAATATTCTGTACAACTAACCCCGCGTTACTTTGTGCCCCGCGCTCCCCTACAGGTGACAGCTGACCATGCAGAGCATCAGGGAGAAGTTGGAGCTTGGGGAGTTACTAAAAGTTCCATTTATATAGGCTAAACATTTAAACTAACATTGTGATATGCTTGAACTGTTTTATATCTTTAGATTTTATTTTAGGCAAGTCCTGATGATTTGAGAAGGCTAAATGGATCAAACATAGGCTATGATCAACTCACTGTCTGCCGCTGGGTCGTTACTTTAAAAAACAAAAACTTACATTTAACGAACCAAAAAAATGCTCCAAATGTTTTTCTAAATTAACTTAAAAAAACGAAACGAAATATAATCACTTTGACATTACATACAAAACTGAACTATTTTAATAGCTGAAACAGTAAGCTGCTGTGTAAGAAGGGGGGATGGGAGTCGGGCTGGGGTCGAACTCGGGCCAAGAATTCTGATGAGCTGTCGGACAAGGGCTGGGCTAGGGCCTATATTTGAGGCCCGTGCAGGGCTCTACATCCAATCTCATTTTGTAAGTGATTTTTCTTTCTGCTATAAGATGTTTTCTTTGGATTGTTTGACTACTCGAAAGAGCATAACTTGCTAAATTTCACATAAGCTACATAAACAAAAATTTACTGGCTATAAATATCTCTTTTCTTTATTCAAAGTTGATCTAGATAAGTAGGCTACTCTCTATGTGTTCTCTTAAGGTCTACATTTCTTTCCTTTTTAATTTTTTTTTGTTAACCTGCCAACACATTTACTGTGTATACTTTCTTTCTTTTTTCTGTTTTGTACTGTTTAATATTAGGCTAATAAAAAAAAGAAAGAAAAAAAATCAAATGATTCACACACACAAGTCCCGATCTGAATATTGATTCATGAACCTGCTCCGAAGTTCCCATGTGAGGCTCCTACTTCTGACCAACATGTGAACTGGCCAACTATTTAAGATGCTTCAGGAATCTGTAACTTACAATAGAATTATAATACCAATTTTGCTATTTGTCAGATTAGGCTACTTAGATTGAGTTACAACAAATATAGATATACCTATTTAATCAATGAATTAGGCCTATATGCAGTCTTCTTATAGGACAAACACACGCATTTAGAGCGATTATACCAATGGGTTGGTTAGCATGGTCTGTGGCAGACTTTTCTTCGTGTCAGGACAACAATTCAGTAAACAAGAAATATATTTCAATTGTAGCTACTCTCACGAACTGTAGACTCTCCTGAATGGTGGAAGAGACTGAACCGGAAGAGAAGAAATCGTTGAATAAAGTTATTTGTTTTCCTTTGTGCACAAAAATTATTCACATGGACTATTTTAATGAAGTCCTTATATGTTTCTGGGCCATAAAATGTGTCAGTTGCATTGCTGCCTATGCGTGTGCACAGAAAGCTCTCGGATTTCATCATCAAAAATATCTTAATTTGTGCTCCGAAGATGAACGAAGGTCTTACAGGAGTTGGAACGACATGAAGGTGAGTAATTAATGACAGAATGTCCTTTATTCACGTACACAATGCGTAAAATGTCAAATTCAGTATGGACTACATTTCCCAGAATGCACATGCCCCGCGCGCTTCCTCGCAGCAGCGGTGATGCTGATGGAGTGTTTTCGCTCGCGGTGCTGGAGATGTGATGGGTCTTCTGGAGTTCGTCTCTGATCGTCATGCTTCCCGGGGTCCTTTACGCGCTGCTGGCGGGTTTTCTCGGTGCGGTCGCGTCCTCCTCCGCCAAACTGTCCCTCGGCACCGACTACCTGAAGGGCGTGTGTGAGACCGGCCTGCGGACATGGGGCGAGCAGAGGAGATTCACGCAGCACAACGACACGAGCGCGTGCGACTGGGTGAGTCAATCACAGTCACTGTCACATCAGGGTTCAAACAGCACTCTCATTTAGCTGTTTTCTGGGATGAGGATGAGGATGAGGATGATGCTGTTACGTGACAGACACGTATGACCTTCAAGCAGCGCGCACGTGACAGTGATCTGTTTTGACGCACTAATTGAGCATTAGTATTTACACAGCCAATATTCATTTATATGGACACCATGAGACATTTATGACTTGTGAATATTGCAGTATATCCCAGCTTAGAAAAAAAAAAGCACACTTCCATAATGTACTTAAAGTGCGCTATTTTTGCGCACTAATTTTGTACTTAATATAGGCTATTAAAAATGATTCTCTAGTACTGCTTGAGATAAACTAAGTGCACTCAACTATGCTATTTTGGGACACCAAGAATATGAACTAAAATAAGCATGTAACATACTATCTCTGTATTTAAAAAATGTATTTAGTTACCACTTGTAGTACATAAGACGTGTACTACAAGTGGTAACTAAATACATTTTTTAAATACAGAGATAGTATGTTAAATGCGTGTTTTAGTTCATATTAATGGTGTCCCAAAATAGCACAGTTGAGTGCACTTGGATGATCTTATGTTTATCTTAAGCAGTACTAAAGAATCATTTTTAGTATATTAAGTACAAAATTAGTGTGTGAAAATAGAGCACTTTAAGTACATTATGGAAGTGTGCTTTTTTTAACCTGGGATACTAAGTGAATTGTAATTGGCCCACTTTTTTGTGTGCTAGTTGCACATCCCGCTCAGACTGCTGTGTGGAGGTCTGCTGTTCACCTGTAACGCTGTGATGTGGACGTTCCTGGCCAAAGCTCTCCGCAGCTCGTGCTCCTCCACCCGCACCACTGTGACCACCACCGCCTCCAACTTCATCTCCTCTGTGAGTATCTTCTCTGGGGGCTGACTGATGAGTGGGTCAGTGTGCAGATGACAGGAGGGTCTGACTTTCCTCATGAACTGTGAAACTTTGAAAAGTCTTGGAGTAGTCAATAAAAATACTTCTAGTTATGCTTAGGTCAAAAACAATGCATCAGCTAGAAATCATTACATAATTTGACATTTTTAGTTTATGTATTTATTTTTTTTGTGATTTTTTTTATTATAAACTAAAATGTGACCCTGGAGTCTTAAGTCGCTGGGGTATATTTGTAGCAATAGCCAAAAATACATTGTATGTATTTTCTTTTATGCCAAAAATCATTAGGATATTAAGTAAAGATCATGTTCCATGAAGATATTTTGTAAATTTCCTACTGTAAATATATCCAAACTTAATTTTTGATTAGTAATATGCATTGCTAAGAACTTAATTTGGACAACTTTAAAGATGATTTTCTGAATATTTAGATTTTTTTGCACCCTCAGATTCCAGATTTTCAAATAGTTGTATCTCGGCCAAATATTGTCCTATCCTAACAAACCATACATCCATGGAAAGCTTATTTATTTAGAAAAATTGACCCTTATGACTGGTTTTGTGGTCCAGGGTCACACATTTTTTTTGTGTGTGTGTGCATCTAATACAAATTGTACTCACAAAAACCAAAAATTAAATAGTAATTAACAATAATAGAGCAATTTTTAGCTGATAAATTATTTTAAATAATTATTTTTGAAATATATTATCAAATAATTATTTAAAAAAACCTTAGTAAACTTGAACTGGAACAATCCGAAAAGTGATTTATGTTTTTTTATTATAGATAAAAAATTGCATGCATTAAAAATAAACTTTCAAAATAATAGAGCAATTTCTAGCTGTTGAATTTTTAAAACTGATTTAAAAAATATATTATATTAATTATTCATAATATAAAAAATTCTTAGCTAGTAATCTTGAACAACTTAAAAAATCACTTTATTATAGATAAAAAAATGCACTCATGAAAATAAGTGATTTCTAGCTGATGAATTATTTTAAAAATGTTATCTTAAAAAATGATTCATTATTTAAAAAATCCTTAGCTAGTAATTTTGAACACTTGAAAAAATGTGAAAAGTGTTTTTTTATCACTATATTATAGATTTAAAAAATGCACTCACAAACAAATAAAAATAAATGAAAATGTAAAATAATAAAGCAATTTCTAGCTGTTGAATTACTTTAAATAACTTTTTAAAAATATATTATTTAAATGGGTCATAGGATGCTACATACACTTTTACAAGTAGTTTGAACTGAAATGTGTGTTGGCAGTGTGTGTACACAACCACTCTATAATGATAAAAATCCACCCAGTGCTTTTTTGTGAATCATATCAACTTGTGGAAAATGGGCATCCTATGACCCCTTTTAAGAAAATTGTTCATAGTAATCTTGAAACTGGAAAAATCTCTTTATTATAGATAAAAATGCACACACACACATAAAATAAAATAAATATATATTTTATGTATTAATAAATATAAAAATGTATGTATTATTTAAATGATTCATAATTTTTAAAAAACCCATAGCTTGTAATCTTAAAAAACTAAACAGGTCAGAAAAGTGATTATCACTTCATTAAAGATCATAATTGCATTGTTTGACAGTTTTACTAAGTATGCTAGAGGTGGAAAATGTCAGTTTGGGTTGCACATGGTTATGTAAAATAAACAAACAAATTGACATGAAATATTAATTTAAGTGATCTTGGCATTTTACTTTAGATTAATTTAAGAATAAACAGTTCATGACAGCATAGAAAATAATCTGCCCAGCAGCAATATTAATTTGTGTATAATTATTATTATTGTTGTTTAAACCTGATAGAGGTCTTGAGTTTGAACTCTTCTGCTTGTTACAGTGTATATAGGTGTCTTATGTCATGATGTTGATGATCTCTTGGTTTCTGCCTTTGCTGAACAGGCGTTTCTGGGGCAGCTAATATTCGGGGAGACACACGTGGCTCTGTGGTGGGTGGGCATCTCTCTCACTCTCTCCGGTCTTCTAGTGCTTCATCACACATCGCCCAACCTCACCCAATCACACGACAGCAAGAGAGAATGAGGCCGCGTTAACATGCATGCGCAACGACACTGCTGCATTATTAGATGAGTTCAGTGTGTTTTAGAAACATATCAGAAAACACTAATATCACCACTTTTCAAACTGTATGTGGGTCCAACTTCTCTAAGACACACAAACCTCCTACAGTCTTTTATGTTGGTTTGCTTCGCTGCACAAGTGTTGCTCGAAATATTTGAAGTTAAACGTGAAAACGGAGAGATTGAAATGTTCTCGCAGCCGTAAATCTACTGTCATGCCAAAGAACCATTTAAATATATATTTAAAAAATGTATTTATATTTATTATTAAAATAGGAAATGTTAAAGATCCATAAAATATAATTATAATATAATATAATTAAAAACAACCGTTGCATTAATCTACATCACTGTTAATGTGGTGGGTGAATTTTTCATATTTCACATCAATATCAGTTGAAAAAATGTTTTTAATAAAGAATATGAAGCTTGTTTTAGGACAATTAAAAAAGGAATAGATTACAAAAAAAGAAAATTATGCAGGAAAAGTAACATCAACGACGTGCTAATGGCAGCATTTTCACTTTTGAGTGAAATAATGCAAAATATAATTTCTTTTTTTCTTTTGAAATATGAGCTGGACCTGAAAGGTTTCATGAGATTTATCTAGTAAAATATTTTTTTCCCATTTTTTTTCTTTGCTCCAAAATGTAAAAGTTGCCAATTGATTAGACAGCAGTGTTATTTTACTTTATTTTACATACTATTGTAATTTTTTGCTAATATTTTGAATTAGATTTAATTTTTATATTTTCCGTTTTAATTTTAGTTAAAGTTTTTTTTTTTTTTTTAAATATGTATAGTTTTTATTCATTTTTATTGATTAGTTTTAGTTTATTTTTTGTTATTTCGGTACTTCAAATTAAACTAAACAAAAATGAAAAACTAAACGCCTTGGCAACTAGTTGAAGTAAAACAAAAAATGTTTTAATGGTTATATTATTTTAAGTAACAGAAATGTTTTCATGGTTTTAGTTAGCCAACCATGTTCGACAAACAAACCAATAAATCAATAATAAATACATAAATCAACAAACAAATACTTAAATCGATAAATATTATTTAATTTCAATAAAAAAGTTGTTTTCCACTCTCTGACCCACATATCCGATCGCAGCTTTCTTATCCTTCAATCTGTCTCATGCCCTCAGTGACATCACTTCCTTCAGTCTCCCAGAGGGTCAGGTACTGATTAAAGCTGTGGTTCCCCACATGCATTTTTTTCATGCATCATCATCATCATCCTCCAGCACTGTGAGCACTGCGTGTGGCAGGAGACGTGCAATAATAACACCAAACCTCTCCAAATGTTGGCATTCTACATTCTTTACCAGAAGATGCTTTTCCCAAATATGCCACATGACTTATGCATGCAAACATCCAGTGATGTGAGAGCAAAGACACTTTCTGTAGCTGTACGAATGAACGCAAACCAAAACCTGTTCTTCAGCCCCTTCTGCAGACACCGAAACTTACCAGGATGATGCAATGCTGGAAACCAACACGTCTAATCTGATGCATTTCCTAGTGAAGAAAGATCATTTAGCTTGTTTGTAAAAATGTGCACTGTAAGATCAGTAGAGCATGTATGAAGAAAGTCAGCTTTGCTTTCATGTTGACTTTGTAGCTCCTTACCAAACCACCTAGACCAGGTGGAAACCACGTTAAACGACCTGCTTTTTTCTGGATCTTCCAGGACACTGAAGCAGATTTAGCAGGTCATTACTGGAGGGGGCTAAAGGACGAGGTCAAGGTCTTGTACTTCCTGTGAATTATTCTAGTTCTTCCTGTGTTATGAGTCTCAATTGGGCGCATGAACCCAGAGACTCATAGAGCAGCTAAATATGGTAGATATTACTCAAATAAACATGGACCGAATGCATTCCAACATAATGTGATGTTATGAAGTCCCTGGTAATGTGACGCCATCTGTGTTTAATGTTGACAACATCCGTCCTTGTCATGAGCCCATTATTTGCAAATAATGTTTCATTTTGTTATAATTAGGCGTGATGAACATTCAGGTAACTGTTAAAGGATTTACAGTATCTTTCTGAACAATGACACTAAATTTACACTTAATTACAGCTGTTACCATAGTAACTATAGAATGTAGTATTATGATTAAAATATGAATTATTTGGCTTGTATGTGGGCATTCCTTTTGTGTCATTATGATTAAAGGATTAGTTCAGACAAAAATTAGATTTGCTGAAAATGTAGCCTACTCAATCTCAGGCCATCCAAGATGTAGATGAGTTTGTTTCTTCATCAGATTTAGAGAAATGCAGCATTGCATCACTTGCTCACCAATGGATCCTCTGCAGTGAATGGGTGCCGTCAGAATGAGAGTCCAAACAGCTGATAAAAACATCACAGTAATCCACACCAGTCCATCAGTTAACCTTAAATAATCTTGTAAAGTGAAAAGCATCAAGGTATTTTTAACTTCAGACTATCCTTTCTGATTAAAATATAATAGCTCATAATCCATAATTACGCTTCCTCCAGTGAAAAAGACAATCTACTGTTGTCCTCTCACATCAAAATCCATTGCATATTTGTTTATTCTATTTCCATTGGCTGCATGGACCTGTTTATTCAATGGGATTCATTCACATACTAAGGGTTATAAGTACACATACATGTTATCAATCATTCTGTATCTGTAATTGTATTGTGTAACCTGGAGAAAATTAAAATAAAGTGAGGGGGAAAAATCCACTGCTTATTTGTTTAGAGCTGTTTTGGCTTGTAAACGGTGCTTGATCTGTGCAATTTCTCTCCTGATTCAGACCGGATGACTTTTTTTACTGGAAGCAAAATTATGGATAGAGGACTCATATTTTAGCCCAAAGTAATGGTATAAAGTTAAAACATCTTAATGATGGATTTTTAAAATGACAAATATGCAAACATTTTACTTCTCAAGATGTTAACTGATGGACCGGAGTGGTGTGGATTATTGTGATGTTTTTATCAGCTGTTTGGACTGTCATTCTGACGGCACCCATTCACTGCAGAGCATCCACTGGTGAGCAAGTGATAAAATGCTACATTTCTCTACATCTGATGAAGAAACAAACTCATCTACATCGTGGATGGACTGAGAGTGAGTACTTGAATTAGCTCAGCAAATTTTTATCTTTGTCTAAACTACTACTAAAATATTCATATTTGGCATTATATACTGCAGTATTAGGGACCAAATGGTGGATGGACTGAGAGTGAGTACTTGAATTAGCTCAGCAAATTTTAATCTTTGTCTAAACTACTACTAAAATATTCATATTTGGCATTATATACTGCAGTATTAGGGACCAAATGAAAAAAATAGTGCATTGGGGGCCTGTTTGTAAATCTTTGACTTTGATTTCAAATTGCTATGACCTGTTACTCTTAAAGAAAGTAAGTGAAGGGATAAATGAATAACTCAACCGTCATGTTATAATATCTGTCTCATGTTAATTAGCGTACGGCATCTAATTATGTAACTGTCACTGTGTAAATCACAGGCCACATTTATAAATGTGTAAATAGTTTTTATTATTTAATGGACAAACTAGTGCTCTGTAAACTCAGCTAAATGAAATGATACTACACGAGTGATTCATTAAACTGCTATGAAGTGTTTTGTGCGATTCTTTCATTGTTATCAATAATTGAAGACAAATGAGCATGAACCAGCTCGAGTTGAAATGATATTAGATGACACTCAAACTGGTATATAATCTTTTTAGATAATTGAATATGTGGACTACGGAAGCTTTTTACACCACAAAATAAAAAAATAATAAAACTGTAACCGACTTTTTATCTCCTCAAAGTTTGAGTTTACATCTCAAAATTCTAGGCATCTAATTATGTAACTGTCACTGTGTAAATCACAGGCCACATTTATAAATGTGTAAATAGTTTTTATTATTTAATGGACAAACTAGTGCTCTGTAAACTCAGCTAAATGAAATGATACTACACGAGTGATTCATTAAACTGCTGTGAAGTGTTTTGTGCGATTCTTTCATTGTTATCAATAATTGAAGACAAATGAGCATGAACCAGCTCGAGTTGAAATGATATTAGATGACACTCAAACTGGTATATAATCTTTTTAGATAATTGAATATGTGGACTACGGAAGCTTTTTACACCACAAAATAAAAAAATAATAAAACTAACCGACTTTTTATCTCCTCAAAGTTTGGGTTTACATCTCAAAATTCTATTTTCCTCAGCATTCTGAGTTTATATTGCAGTTGCAACAATATATCTCCCAATTCTGTTTGTATCTTGCAATTCTGACATTTCCTCAGAAATGCAAGAAAAAAAGTCTTGAATTGTGATGAAAATGTTGAAATTGCCTTTTTATTTTTTTATCCCATGGCGAAAGAAAGCCTCCGTAGTAGACTTGTGAAGATTAGATTTTTTTCATAACCATCAAAAGACAACAAAGAGGAGAAAACACCACATTGGAAAAACAACAGAAAGAGGAATTTATTGAATTGACTTTCAAAGTGAAAGCGACCCGAAACACCCAAAACTGCATTAAGATATTGATATTTTTAAAATTACATGCACAACATAAAGCAAAGATGAAAAAAAAAGACAGAATAAATTGAAAACAGGCAAAAGATTGTGCAAAGAAAATGGAAAAAGAAACGGCGGTCCTTTACATCAGGCCTGTGAACAGCAGTGATTATGAGTGACCCGTAGAGTCCCAACGGGAAATACTGATCCAACAGCAGAGCCGTCAAACACTTCAATGCATTGAAATCCAACCAACAAACTTTCAGTCATAAGCAGCAATGTGAGGCCTCCAAACCACATGACCCGACATCATTGTGCTGCAGGATAAACGAGCCAGAGAGAGCCAGCTGTCAGTCTCCAGTTTGACAGCTTTCGAGGCTGCAGACGCTGAACTTCTGATGGTCTGAGCTGGATTTAGAAGAGAAGCAGGATTGATAAGAACATGATGTGAACCTGAGGAGTCCCAGGACGAAGACAGCAGCCGTCTGGATTCAGGAAGACCGAGCTCGCACTCAAATACTGTAGTGACACCGTTACTGAAATCCATGAGCACCACCGCCGAGAGACGCAAAGTATTGCAAATGTTCTATTACAGTCATAAACGTATTTCTAGGCCTGCAATGAGCTACTGCATTCAGAAATGAATTAGATTAATCTCATAAAACAGGTCTAAAACACCATATTTCATCCCAAAATCAACAGAAAAAAATGTTTAACAAAGAATTACCAGGCAAAATGCACAGATATTATTTTCAAAACAACTAATAAAAATCTATTATTTTAATGATATATATATATATATATATATATATACACATTTTTTATTAAAATCTAATAGTTATTTAATGCATTATATAAGTAATGTTTGCTGACTTAATGTAAAAACTAAAAAAAAAATGTAAGTAAAAACTATTACAATGAGAATAATAATTAAAACAAATAGAAAATACAAAAAAAGAGAAAGTTATATTTAGTATAAAGAAAAATTACCCAGTATTCACAAATATTATTTTCAAGACAATAAAAATATATGATTATTGTAATGCAAAAGTGTGTGTGTGTGTGTGTTGTAATTCAGTCAGAATGACTATTACAGTAATGAGAATCAGCACTGAGTGAGAATTACAAAGAAAAATAACAATAATACAATACAAATTACAATAATGTAAATTTGATAGTATGATGTATTTAATTGTCATGAAAATAATGTCACAATGCAAAAAATAAAATAAAAAGGATTTTGGTATGGAATATGGCCCAGATATGTTTTCATGATATTCAGCCATTAGTGTTATGCAAATTAATTTGTTTTAATCAAGAAAGGGAAAAAAAAGATGATTTTGTGCGATTTTACTTTTCATAATGGAATAAAATTTGGCAACGAAAGATTCCTCACACTACAGCAGCGTTTCTGTGCTAAGGCTTGAGCAGAGAATGAAGAACAACATGAGCGCAAAAAAAAAAAAGGCATTCCCTAATTAACCAGCGAATGGTAAAGGCATCTGTGAATCAAGAGAAAAAAGTAACATGAAAAAGAAACACTTCAGTTATTTGCCACGGCTGGTGATCGTCTTAAGTGCCATGGTCAAGGCCTCTAGAATCTCACCAGGCGACTAGATCCAATTCATCACAAACATCATTGGTAAAGGACAGAGTTCACAGTGCGGGATTCATTATAACAGTGCAGCTGGGCCAGCGGTGCTCAGGACATCAGTGTCACTCTCCGAGGCTGTCAGTGTCTCGATGAGCGTAAAGAGGCCACTAGAGCAGCGTGCCGTGGTGTTCTGTGCAGACAGAGTTAAAAGCAAAGGGAGATGTTTGTGTAGAGACAGAGCAGGTGACGTCTCAGACCACGTACTGGTAGAGATTGGCCTTCCCGTGATCCGGCGGGGCAAACGGACTCAGCCAGGCCAGAGAGAACGGGTGACCGAACACCACCCTCATGTTCATCCACTTGGACCTTTTGGCCCATCGTCTCTCTTCTTTCTTCAGCTGCTCGATTCCCTGTGAACAGAGAGAATCACGGTCTCAGAGAATGGAGAACGAGACTTTGATCTGATGATTTCTGCATTCGGTTTTGATTAAATCCATCTAAATGCTTTCTTCAGTTGCTCAAGGGAATGTAGAAGACAAACGCTTCTCACACGGACTGATATTTGTGGCTCTTGAAAAGTGGACGATGAAAAGCAAGCGGAATTTCTTCAATGAGATGTTTGGTCACAGGTAAAAACTGCTCAAATGTACTCTTAAATTCAGGGTTATTATAGTTAACTAAAACTAAAACCATTAAAAACTTGTTACTTGCGTTACTCGAAATAAAAGTCAACTGAAATAAATTACTTAAAAAAAAAAAAAGTAAGCTTAGTTTAGTTATTTGCCAAGAAAACATTTCTCATTTTTATTTAGTTTAACTTGACGCACTAAAATAGCTTAACTAAAATAAAAAAATAATCAAAATTAAACTAAATAGGCATTAAAAAATAATAATAAATGACGAAAGCATGACAAAATTACTAAAACTTTCAAATTAAAAATGAAAACGGAAAAAAATTAATTCAAAATATTAATAAAAAACGATAATAGTATATCAAAGATACAAAATAACTGCTTAATTTTCAAATTTATATGCATTAGGCAGTGCTACTTTTATATCATTGATATACCATTATAGTTTTTATGAATATTTTGACCTAGTTTTTGATTGTATTTTTCACATTTTTAGTTTTAGTTAAAGTATTAGTAAACATGAAAAACAACAAAAACATTTTAAAATAAAATGAAAATAAACATTAATTCAAAATATTAATAAAAACTAAAAATACTGAAACTACTGCTTAAATTTTACGGTTTGTATTAATATTTTGAATTAGCTTTCATTTTAGTAAAAGTTAATAAACACTTTTAATGGTTTTAGTTCACTATAATAACCTGGCATGAGGAGAAATGGTTTATTATTGTAGGAAGTGACATCAGCAGATGTTCACTTACAGTCTCATCGTTACAGATGGAGTGAATCTGCGTCCCGAACATCACAGCAGTGAAAATGAGGAAGAGCAGGCTCTCAAAGCACAGGAGGATGAGGAGGATGACGGTCGTCGGAGGAGAGAAGGAACTGCACTCTGAGGAGAGGAAACAGGAAGCTTTCTAAACTCACCAACCAATCAGAACGCTCAGTTACAACACAAGCAGCCAATCATTTAGCAGCAAACTGAGGTAAATAAAACCCAGGCAATGAAACAGAAACAAGCACTTACTTGCCCAGTCTTCTTCAAAACAGAAGATAAAATTGACAGCGACCATGATGAGAGCATGAAGAGAAATCAAAGCAATGTACATCTGTAAAAACACAAGAAACTATATACTAAAATAATTTTTATAAATGTAGAATTTTTATTTTAATATTTTATAGTTTACAGTTTTGTTACTCTTTTGTCATGTTTATTACTATTATTATTTTAAATATTACATCTTACAGTAGGTGTAATTTATTTAAATTTTTATTTCAGTTTTAGCTTTTACTTATTTCCAGTTATTAATTTTACTGCTTTAACCTATTTTAGTTAGTTGCCAAGGCAACATTTATAATTTCAATTTAAAGTTTGTCATATAACATATGACATATATAATTATGAAATAAATGAATATATAATTTTGAAATAAATAATTGTATTTAATTTTTAAAGTCTTTAACAGTTTTAGTTAACAAATAACTCTGCCACAAAATAAAGTGGAAATCACGGTTATTTGATTTTATCAATGTGTGTTTTGTGAGTAGTTGTGATCAGACTTATTATAGTTACCTAAAACTAAAACCATAAAAAAAACTTGCATTTTGCATTTTACTTTTAATGTTACTTGAAATAAAATAAATATTTCACTGAAATAAAATCTAAAAAACCAGCTAGTTTCCAAGGCAACTTGTACTAAAATATCTAAAACTAAAATTTTAATAAAAATAAAAACTATATAGACATTAAAAATGAAGAAAAATCTCAAACACAAAACAAAATGATTAAATAAATATTAAAATATTAAGTAAAATATTACATTTTAAAACATGAAATTATATATTACATTTTTACATTACATATGAAAATGAAAACAAAATAAAAAAATGAAATCTATTTCAAAATAGTAATAAAAAAGTATCTTGATGATACTATTTTACTTTTAATGTTACTTGAAATAAAATAAATATTTCACTGAAATAAAATCTAAAAAACCAGCTAGTTTCCAAGGCAACTTGTACTAAAATATCTAAAACTAAAATTTTAATAAAAATAAAAACTATATAGACATTAAAAATGAAGAAAAATCTCAAACACAAAACAAAATGATTAAATAAATATTAAAATATTAAGTAAAATATTACATTTTAAAACATGAAATTATATATTACATTTTTACATTACATATAATATGAAAATGAAAACAAAATAAAAAAATGAAATCTATTTCAAAATAGTAATAAAAAAGTATCTTGATACTAAAACAACTTGAAACTCACAGTGAAAAGCACAAAGTATTTTTGGTTGCTCTCTCCCACACAGTTGTTGACCCAGGGACAATGGTGGTCCATCTTCTTGATACAGCGCTTACACACACTACACAGCGAAAACACACACTTAACAATGAGACATTTGCAGGAAACTGCCTCGGAATTTAACCTCACACAGTGATGATTCAGTTCTCGATGCTGTGTGTGTGTGTGTGTACCTGCAGTGATGTGCTCTATCAGGTTTGATGCTGCAGCATTTGGGACATTTATACACCACCTGTCCAGGCTTGAGCTGCAGACTCTCGATAAACTCTTTAGTGGCGTTTCCCTTTGGAACGGCTCCCTGAGAGGAAAGAGAGAGTCAAAACGCCACCTCCAGATGTGCTGTAGCCATTAAGCATTAAATGATAAATCAGTTTCATGTTCAGAGTCTCTATCAGACAGTCATTGGTAGTTTGACACTTGCAAAAATAGATCTGCCACCCGGCGACATGTCAGTGTCTGCAATTTGCTGCAATTCTGTAACTGAAACGTGACTCATTCACACCAAAATAGATAGATAGATAGTTAGTTGTGGAGTAAATGCCACTATTCTAATAGAATTAGAGCAATTATTAAAATTTGATTATAATTATAGTTATCTCTCTTGGTGTGAATGGGCCTTAACGATGGATATGTGACCCTGGACCACAAAACCACAAAAAGTCTTAAGTGTCAATTTTTCGAAATTGAGATTTATACATCATGTGAAAGCTGAATAAATAATCTTTCCATTTAATGTATAGTTTATTAGGATCGGACAATATTTGGCCGAGATACAACTATTTGAAAATCTGGAATCTGAGGGTGCAAAAAAATCAAAATACTGAGAAAATCGCCTTTAAAGTTGTCCAAATGAAGTTCTTAGCAATGCATATTACTAATCAAAAATTAAGTTTTGATATATTTACAGTAGGAAATTTACAAAATATCTTCATGGAACATGATCTTTACTTAATATCCTAATGATTTTTGGCATAAAAGAAAAATCAATAATTTTGACCTATACAATGTATTGTTGGCTATTGCTGCAAATATACCCCAGCGACTTAAGACTGGTTTTGTGCTCCAGGGTCACATATGTGTTGCTTCATGTCTGATTAGGACTATTGCATGTGTGTTTTACAACTGATGAAGGTGTTTGGATAGACAGCGAAACGTCTTGTTTATAGTCCAGTGATTTAAATAAAAAATGACATTTTTGGAATGTTTTAACACCTGGATGGTTTAGTGTTGAATCTACATAAACTATTGCATGTGTGTGTTTGTCTCACCGGGTCGGTGCACATGGCTTTGAAGTGTGACGCCAGGGCGAGGAAGGCCAGTCCGTTAAACAAGGCACCGTTAATTAGGCTGTACACCACATTCTTCGATGGCAGCAGCATTACGAAGACGACCACATACTCGGCGTAGAAGACCAGCAGCCACGTGATCACGCCGCACACGATGCCGCAGCCGTCCCGGATGAACCACATGTCGTCGGCCGAGTGTGTCCGCGGAGGGGGCGGCGCGCAGTGCTCCAGCCGCAGATATCCTGCCTGACGCTCGATGTCCCGACTGCGACTAGCTGGGGAACTCTTCATCCTTCCCACCGGCAAACACGCTCATCCTCCTACAGACAGACAGACAGACCAACGTGAAGATCGACCTGTAGGTCACACATCAGCCAGTTCATGCATTTAGCAGACGCTTTTACCCAAAGTGACTTACAGCAGTGTTATTTTAGTATCCCTCTCTCCCTTAAAACTTACGCTGCATTCAAGGTATACAGTACACTTATCAGTTCATGCATCCCAGAGAATCAAACTCACGGTCAGGGTGCCGCAGGCCTTGCTCTACGCTTATAGTTATAGGAATGAATCTGCAATCAGCTTTTAAAAGCACAGTTTTTATTACAATATTTCAATCATGTGATTGTTGACAGACATTTGAAAGCAGAGGATGCACTGTCAGCATATTTAAAATAGATAATGACCATTAAGAAGCAGGGTTATTACAGTTCACTGAAACTAAAGCCATAAAAAAAATAAAAAAAAATTCATAAATAGGCTAAACTCTTAAATATATTTTATTTCAGCTGCTTGCCAAGGTAATATTTCTCAGTTTCCTTAAGTTTAAGTTTATGTACTAAAATGATTAATCTGAAAGAAAAAATAATAATAATAGAAACTATATAGACAAAATAAAAAAAATGACAAGAACAAGAAAATTACTAAAACGAACTAAAATTAAAATGGACAATAGAAAAAAAATATATACATAAAAAAAAAATATATATATATAAACAGAAAATATAAACATGAAAACTACTTTTTAAAATAATATTATTATCAATTATACTAAAATAATAATGTGTGTGTGTGCACACTAAATAAATATAAAGGCTTAAAAGCTCAATAAATATATGAATAGGCTCAAAAGAATAAATAACATCTATATTAATGAATACAAAATGATCACAGGGAAATTAATAAAAGTATTATAATAACTAAATCCAACAAAATCCCTATTGTTTTCCCTTCTTTATTTTTGTGACAGGGCTTTTAGATATTGTACAAAATAATTCTCGCAGGCTACAAACGGGGGAGACACTTATATATTTGTGGATAAAAAGCCTAGTCTACTTAAATCTTTAAATGTATTCAATACAATGCTGTACGTTACACACTCACTGTGTTCTTTGTGTCCTCCAGCAGCGCGTGACTGATTTCTCTGCTTCAAATGATGAATTTTCTCTCCGCTTTCACACAGGTGATGTGAGGTAGCGATGAAAAGTCAGTTTGTTGTATATGTATGAGCAGGCGATTGTGTTTTTGTGTAAATTATTGCTTCGGTTTCGGCAGGTGAAACGCGACAACCAGGAAGTTTCTGCTACTGGCGTCAAACACACCCAGCACAGTTGCACACACTCTCCACTTCCGCTTCCGAATATTACACAATAAAAGTCCAAACGGTTTCGGAAACCATAAATATCAATGGATATTAAACCAAGATCGTTTTATGATTTTTGGCATTGTTTGTGTATAAAGGTGTCAGAAGAATACAAAAATTTTATCGAAACGTTTTAATAGTTCAATAAAATGTGGAAACCTTCTGTGATTAACAGGTTATATTATTTTATGTCATAGGAAATAATATGTCACGTCTTATAAATTTAAAAACAAATTATAAATTTAAAAAGATGCTTGAATGAAGGAGTCGTAGGGACTTTTATCTTAGCAGTAGTGACGGCTGCGCGCGCTGCGGTTCCCCTCGAGCGCATCCGGCATCATGTCGGCGTCTGAGGTGAGAAAACACAACACACAATAAAACACACATTTACACGTGCGTGCCTTAATTACAGTGCATCTGCGCGTTTGAGGTTGTGTTATGAATGTGTATTCCCGATAGAGGATAGAAACGATGCGTTCGCTTTACTCGCTTTGCTGTTTTGTTGCAGCATGCAGTGCTGTAGTTCATCAGTGTAACGTGCAGGTTTTGTGACATCGGAGTGATTAAACAACAGATGCACTGATCTTGTCAGCAGATTTTTAAACTAATACATGCTTTTTACAGTGTTTGCTGGTTGGTGCTGTTAAAATATTATGCATGTGAAATTTATGACCTATGATTATCAGTTCATTGTAAAAAAACAAACAAAAAAAACGTGATGTCTTCTTTAATATTTGCCGTATCTTTCCATATTTATTTGACGTGACCCAAATTTCTACTTTAAAACAGATTTAAAATCTCTCTTGATCATATTTTAGCATGTTGTCATTGTTTCTGGCTTATATATCATGTTTAACTGTATATATATTTTTTATTATGTTGATCCAGACCCCATCAGATGGGAGCTCTCCTCAATCCAAACAGGAAGGTGAGGGTATATTAGTGTTTCATTAGTAGAGATGCACATTGGCCAAAACATTGTCTGTATTAGCTCATTAAGTTAACCTATTTCTTAGATACATTTGGATTTAATCTGCAGTACATTAAAGCAGCACTATGTAACGTTTTCTGTGTTCAAAATGTGCAAAATGTATATAATGAGCGAGTACATCATGAATTAATCTTCCAAACCGCGTTTTAGTCACTACGGTACACTTATAATAAGTACTTATATTTGGACTATTGTAGCCTGGTCACCGCTGCGGAGTAACACATACCTGCGTGAATCGCCATAGACATACACTTAGAGAAGTAGATCCGGTTGGAATGTTCTTCCGCGGGATGTGTGCAGCTCTGTTTATTAACCGCTAGAGCGCCAAAAGTTACATAGTGCTGCTTTAAAATGTTTTGTCTCCTGATTTAA